CTGCACCCACGTGGGAGACCCAGATGGAGTTCCAGGCTCCTGGCTTCAGCATGGTGGCCATTTGGGGATTGAACCAGCAGAGGAAGATCTTTCCCTCTCTTTTTCCCTTTCTCTCTTTCACTCTGCCTTTCAAATAAATAAATCTTTAAAAAATATAATCAGAAGTTGCCCAAAGGTGAAGTAGAGGTGGCCTGGGGGCCACAGGCAGACAACTCCTGCAGCGGTGGCTGGTCCCCAGGGTCCCCGCAGCCCTGACCAGCCAGGAGCTCCCCAGCCAGGTCCTGGGGGACCGCCCCGGACCCCACCTCCTTATTCCCATGGCCGCTCACAGCCCTGACTGCTCCAGATAATATTTTAGGACACTGGAGACAGAGATAAGAAGCAGATGAGAGAAGGCCTGGGAACAGGAGCTGAGCCAGGGCGGGAAGCAGGCCCCCTGCTGCGGGCAGTGCTGGCACCCGGAGCTGCTGGAACACGCACTCCCATGGGGACCTCCACCCTAGCTTGGGCACCGCAGAGTCGGGATCCTGGCTCCTGGTTAGAACACGTGCAGCCCTGTCCGAGCACAGCCTCCAGGCCCCTGAGGACTCCTGCACACCTGTGCAGCAGGGCAGTACAGGAGAGCTGAGCCCGTCCCTGGGCAGGCTTGTGGCTTAGAGCACTCAGTAAGCATCCCTGGGAAGCACGACTTGCTGGGCTGCGTCTTCCAGAGCGAGCTGGGATGTTTGCTGGGACCAGCGCCCCACAGACGGCATCTCAAAGGCAGAAAGGTCGTCCAAGGGTCCCTTAGGGTAAACCAAAGGCTTTGGTTAGGTGCTGCTGGCTTGCGTTGGGGGACTTGGGTGAGCTGAGCTCCTAGCCTGTCTGGGATGTTAATAGGAAATTCATCTACCAATAGCAACAACCGTAACAATGGGAGCCCCCATTTTGCAGGGAAGGGGAGAGTGCTGTCAAGGTCACCTCCAAATTCCCTGGGGTCTCTGAAGACCACCTTGACCAGCCTGGTGGTTACCCTGCATCCCAGATTCCCTGCAAGGTCAGACTCCCATCCCATCCCTACCCCTCACCTTGAACTCCCACCTCCAAAGACAATCCAGTAGCCCCGCCACAGCTGAGAGCTTGGATGATGCGGGGCCCCCTCGTGGCCTGGACAGAGTGAAAGAATCACGCAGCCGCCACCCAGCACAGCCAGTGTTACCTCAGGGCAGAAAACTTGGAAGGAATCCCAGCTCCAGCCAAGGAAAACATGAATCAGGTCTCACTAAGCCAGGTGGCTCCTCTCCCTTGCCTTCCACCCTCACCCCAGTCATGGAGCTGATATGCTGCTTGGATAACCCCAAGACCCCATTCCCACACGGCCTGCTGCCGGCAGAGACACAGGAGCAGGATTCTAGAACCTCAGCCCCGCTGGCCATCTTGCCTTCTGCCTGCCCTGGCTGTCTCAGGGCCGGGGTCTCTCCCGGGTGCTGCTCCCTCTGACAGCTCTCTGTGGGCCTCCCCTTCCTGGCCATCCTTGGCCGTCCTAGCCTCCACTGTCGCAGGGTCTTCTCCCTTCTGTGTGTCTCTGTATCTCCACACACCCCTCTACCAAGCAGACCAGTCAATGGGTTCCTAGCCCGCCCACTGGATTACCAGGCAGATCTTATTTCCCAAAGAGATTATGCACTGAGGCTCGGGGGGACACCCCTCAACCCAGGACGACAGCACCTTCTGTTGTGTCTCGTCCGGGAGGTCACTCACTGCGCAGCCCTCTGCCTTTTGGCGCCCAATATTCTGGTGCTGTCAGCTCTTTGTCCCTTGATTTTCATTTCAGGGGCTTTGGAGAGGGGACCAGAGATACAGAGGTGAGATTAATTTAATATTTAATAATTAATTTAATATTTAATTTGTCCCAATATATCCAAAATAGTGCCCTTTCTTTTTTTTATTTTTTGCCAGGAAGAGTTAGTGAGAGAGAGAGACAAGAGAGTTATAGACAGTGAAAGAGACAGAGAGAAAGGTCTTCCTTCCGTTGGTTCACTCCCCTAATGGCTGCTACAGCTGGCGCTGAGCCCATGCAAAGCCAGGAGTCAGGTGCTTCTCCTGGTCTCCCATGGGGTGCAGGGCCCAAGGACCTGGGCCATCCTCCACTGCACTCCCTGGCCATAGCAGAGAGCTGGCCTGGAAGAGGGGCAACCAGAACAGAATCTGGCGCCCCAACCAGGAATAGAACCCAGGGTGCTGGCGCCGCAGGCGGAGGATTAGCCAAGTGAGCCACGGCAACGGCCTCAAAATAGTGTCCTTTCAACACATAATCGATACAGAAAATTGTTGAGATTTTTACATTCTCAGTCTTCAACATCCCAACTGTCTTTGACCCTTACAGCACCTCCCAATTCAGGGGTTCCCAGCACCCACTTACTCCCTGATTGGCAGCTCGGGAGGGAGGGCCCTGAGGAGGCCGGCAGGCGGCAGAGGGCGGTCTTTACTTGATGGCTTCTGCACCTCTGGGGTCTGCCCTGAGTATCTTTCATCTCCTGGCAGTGGAGGGAAGGAGCCACATGGGACAGGCTCGTGGGACTGCTGTTCAGCCGAGGAGGTCAATTTGTTCATTCAAAAAGAAACCGTGAGCACCTTTTGGCCTCTTGTCCAGACAGGAAGCCCCTCCCTCCTATCCCTGCACGCTCCATGCTTGGACAGCCAGCCCGGGCACCTGGACTCAGACCAGGGCCATTGCTTACTGAGTGCAAATGATGCAACAGCTCAGGTGACAGCCAGGTGAGGCACCAATGCCCTGCCCATCTCAGGGAGGGGACAGTGCACCCCACCCCACCCCTGTCCCCGCTGTGTGAGATGCTGTGGCCATGCACCTGGCTGCCTGCTCTCGTCTGCACCTCCCTTGCCGACCTGGCTGCTTGGCCCTTAGGTAAGTCAACAGCCAGGCTGGCCTGGGAACCTTCTGTCTCACCTTAGGATGACTTTGCCCTGTCTGCTTCAATGGCTGCATGTCAGGTTTACCGTCAAAGTCTCAAGGCCTAGACTTGCTGCTCTACAGAGTAATCTCTCATTCTGCTCCCATTGGCCCGCAATTTGGTATTCTCCCGGGCCCGCTCCACATCCTCTGTGTTTTTCTGAGGATGCCAGAGACAACCAGAACCCAGCCCCAGACGTGCCCTGTCCCCTGCTCAGGCTCTGCAGCCAGCACGCAGTAGGGGCACAGCCTGCACACTGGGTATACGTGCTGCAGAGTGGGGCAGGAACATCTTCCCTCCCCGCCTACCTGTCCCCAGGACCTGGTGACAGTCGTCCTGAGCCAGAGCAGCCAGCTCACGGGGCTCATCATGTCTGCATTCTGATGCCAAGAAGGTAAATGAAAGTGAGAAAGAAAGAGACAGAGAGGCACAGGGGACAAGGGGTCTTGGGGGTTGATTCAGAACTACTGCTGGTCCCTTCAAGCTGCAGATAACACACACACACCCCATCACTGTCCGGTTTTTTTCCCCCCTCTAATGGGCGGACCTTGCAGAAAGTGACTCAGCCCTTACGTAAGAGATGGGAAGCTGAAGGGAACAGGAGCTCTGGTGACTCACCGCCTGGAACTTCCCCGTGGGTTACACAGGTTGGCTTAGACAATTTTTTAAAATGTAGCTTTAACGACTGTCAAAAGGAAAGAATGGTTTGGGAGGCGGATTGGGCTGAGGATCCCATGCCAGGGCTGGAAAGAGGAGCTGTGGTGGACAGGGGGCTGCGAGGAGGCTGGGGGTGGGGCTTGTCGGCCAAGCTCCCTCCTCATCAGGCCACTGGGCAGCACTTGAGCAGTCGCCGCGTTGGCAAGAATCAGCTCCGGGGGACTCCAGGAAGCACCTTGATCCTTGGAAGCGGTGGGCACCCCCCGCAGGGCCACCTCTGACTAAAGAGCTAGAGGAGGGGGTGGGTAACTGACAGCGGTTAAGATGCCACTTGGGACTCCTGTATTCCGTGTCTGAGTCCCTGGGTTCACGTCCTGGCTCTGTTTGCTAATGCGCACACTGGGAGTCCGTGATGGCCCAAGTACTTGCGTCCCTGTCACTCACGTGGGAGACCAAGATCAAGCTTTGGGCTCCTGGCTTTGACCTCGCCCAGTCCCAACTGTTGTGGGCACTTGGGGGAGTGAACCAGCAGGTGGAAGATCTCTTTCTGTCTATCTCTGTCCCTCTGTATCACTGGCTTTCAAATAAATAAAAATAAATATTTTGAGAAAAAAAGAGCTATAGAGGGTGGCATGCAGTGACTTCCAGCCCTGGTCCTAGGCTAGAATCACCTGAGAGTGTCATAAAATCCCCATGCCCAGGGCCCTCTCAGACCCATTGAATCAGAACCTCTGGAGATGGGGCCCGGGCATCAGCATTTCTCGGGCCAGCTGGAGGAATCCATTGTGCAGCCAATGGAGAGAAGCTGAGCTCAAGGGCCAGGGCCATTCCACCCCAGGGGGGAGCTCTGGTTGTTCCTGCCCCCTGATTCTCAGAGTGATCTTAGACCTCCAGATGTAGCCACATGTGCGTCTCAGCAGAGGGTCTCCCCTTTTCTTTCTGTCCTGCTACAGAAAGCAGATTCCTGTAGGGAACACTGGTGGCCATGCAGAGCTGACGGGCAGGCAGGTGGGGCGGGCTCTGGGACCCAGAAGCCTCACAGGGAAGAGGCCCCACACCACCACCACCAATCTTTCTCCCCCACCCACTCCTGCCTGGAGGCCTGAGTCAGAGCATCCCAGCCCAGGCCATCAGGGGATGAAGTCACAGGCCTCGTGCTGGCCCTTGGGGTCACACCCACCCTTCCTCCACTGTTCCTTTCCTTCTCCCAGAGGCTCAGCGACCCCACCCCGCCAGGCTGCCCCCTCCGCCCCAGAGGCCCTCCCACTCCACTTCTACCCACGTGTCCTCCGCTCACAACATACACAGTCTTCAGGCAGTCCCTGGAGAACGCACCTGCCCCCAGCAGGAAAACCCTCCTGTCAGCCCACAGTTCCATGGGCCTCCACTCACCTGTGCTGCTGGCGGTGCAGGGAGCAGGTCCTTGGTCCTGAGGGCAGGTGGGAGGTGGGGCAGCAAGCACCCTGGGCACAACTCGTCCCTCAGCCTGGGCCTCACCCCGGATCCCGTAGCCTGGCAGACTTGCTGTGTGTGGCAGCTTCCCATTGGCAGTGCCTCTCCCACTGGCCTTCCTCACTTCCTCACCCTGGTGGCAGAAGTTGGTCTCCCTCCAAGAGATGAAGAAAGGGCGTTGTTAACCCGGGGTCTCTGCCTCTCCACACTCAGTCACGTACGGTCTGACTGTGAGGATGTGGGAGTTCATGCCCTGTGCCTCCATTTCTCCATCTCTGAAATGGGACAATGAAAGCTCTGAGCAGACGGGTGTGTGTGTGCCAAGGACTAAACAAGGCAATGCAGGCAAAGAGCACCATCCTTAGCACCAACGCCATAGGTGTTGCCATGGTTACGGTGTGTGACGCACTGGCAAGCTCACGGGATTCCACGTTGGACTATAAATGTCACGTGGGCAGAGACACCAGGTGCCTCTTCTGTGCTGGGCACCTACTGGGATTCAGGGAATAGTGGCAGAAAAAACAAATGCGGCATGAGCTCTCCTTGTGCTGATTGCTCCCATTCTCGCTGTATGGCTCTGATGATTGTCACTGCTATTCTCATGGGGTTCTTGGGGTGATGCCACCAGGTCTGTGGGTACTGTACCCACTCCCCGCCCCTCTCCCCTGCCACGCTGTCCCCAGTGCCGGGGAAGTCCTAGTCATGGCAGAACATCCCGTCGGCCCCCACTGGCCCCTGGGAGACCAGACAGCCTCCTCTGTGGGCCACTGCAGTCCTGGGGGACCAGACAGCCACACAGTCCTGAGACCCCACGCAGATCCCGAACGGGCAGCCAGGAGCCCCGTCCACACCTGGTCAGTCAGGCACACGGGCGGCCAGCGTCTCCAGCCACAGGCTGAGTGGTGGCCGCAGTGGGCAGATGCAGCAAGGACTTGATGTGCTCCCTGGGCTCAGGAAGCACACAAGGAGGGGGCCACGCCATGCTACGCCCCCAGCACCCTGTGGAGCTCCTCTTTACCCAGCCCCTGGCCCTTCTCTCCGTGCCCCTGGGGCAGGTCCCTTGATGGCCAGCAGGCAGGCCTCCCTGGCTGTGGCTCCAGGCTGTGCTGTGCTGAGGACTCAGTGGCTCCTAGGCCTGACCCCAGCAGCTCCAGCCTCACTATTCCCACCTGTCTCTCCCCCCAGGGTCCTGAGCTTGGTTGGGGCAGTGGGAGGGGACCTGGGAGTGAGAGCCCTGAGAGGTTGCCCTCGACAGGTGCCTATGACCCTGCAGGTCCCATTTGGCACCAGGGGAAACCATCTCAAGCCACTCGAGTGGGAGAACGGGACCACGCACTTCAGCCTCATTTGCCCTAAAGAGAATTGCAAAGGCGGACCTGCGCCCAAACACCTGCACTCTGCGCTGTCTCTGAAGGGCCCTCAGCTGCCAGCTGGCCAGCTGGGTGGGAAGCCAAGCACAGAGCCTCTGAGCCACTTCAGGAGCCAGTCTCCAAAAAGGATAGGAGGGAGCAGGTCCACGGGTCCCCCTGCCCGCATCCAGCCAGCCCAGCTGTCACATCACAGCTGCATGTTGCTACCTCTTCTGTACCAAATAACTCCAAAACAGTTTGACAGTTCTTCCTCTGACCATGTTTGATTTATGGCTGCAATTACAAGCTCTCCTTCCAACCGTCTGCACCCAGCAGATGTCTCTTGCAAGTCAGCAGAGCTGTCATTCCAGCTGCCTGTGCCTTCCGAGAGTGGGCCACGAGGACCTGTGCGTGCCCACGGGGCGGTGCTGGCCCCACCCTGTCTGGGATGTGGCCGGGTTGGGTGGGAGGTTACTGATCTCTTGTCACAGAGACCCTGAATGGCAGAAAGGACTACTCCCTCCACCCAAAACCCAGCCTGCCCGGCTCGGAAAGGACGAGCTACCCACTTGGCGCCTCCTCCCCAGTGTGGTTTTCACCGTGCACATGAGCAAGGGCCCTGGCCCTGAACGGCCACACTGCCCGGCCGCGTCTGCTGAGTGCTCCAGCTTCTGCCCCTTCTAAGTCAGGGTCTCTGGGTGCAGTCCTGGTCCTGCTTCTTGAGCAAGTCACGTGGCTCTGTGTGGCCTGCCTCCTTGTAGGAAAGGAGGAAGATGACTTGGGTCTTACTTCCAGCTGCTCCACCAGCGCTACAGACTGTGGGTGCTTATTTCCCACAGTTCCAGAGGCTGAGAGTCAGCCCAGCACAGCCAGGTTCCGGTGAGGGCCCTCTTCCGGGCTGTGGCCGGCCAGTTTCTCCTTGTGTCCTGACACAGTGGAGGAAGAGCGAGCTGGCCGCCTGGCCTCTCCTTAGGAGGGCACTAACACCATTCGTGAGGGCTTCACCCTCAAGGCCTGGCTCCCTCCCCATCACATTGGGAGTTGGGCTTTGGAGAGGAAATAGGATGTTCTAACGTGGAGTAACCGATGGTCACTGCTCACTGAGCGCCTCATGCCCCGTGCACTGCACAGGTTGTCTCTACCTGGTGCCTGGGTGACCCTCCCAGCCCCCCTGGAAGCCAGCACCCCCATCTGGCAGATGAGCAAACCCAGGGTCAAGGAATGAGAACTGGCCCGAGTCTCTCTCCAGGAAGTGGAGGCACAGCCACTGCAACCCAGTCTGAGCTCACGCTTCACCCACCCCGCCCCCGGTAGCCTCGCAGGATCACTTTAGCTGAGCGGTTATTTTTGTCCCAAGGGATTTGTGGGGTTGGGGGTACTCAGAGGTGGGGAAGGGCCACATCAGTTAGGGCACAGTGCCGCAGTTCCAGAGGCCACCAGACGCCTGAGCCTCTTCTAGGAGATGGAGGCAGGGACCACCGGGCCCTCCCCTCCCACCTCCGTGACTGTACCCTCTGCTCCCCGATACCCAGGTGCTCCTAGGTAACCTGTCAAGAGAACGGCCTCCAGGTCACTGCATGGAAAAAAGTCCTCCCTGTCCCTTCCCTCCACCTCCCTGACCAACTAGAGGCTGTCTGTGGGCCACTGTGCCAGCGCGGGGCAAGCATTTGGTGCAGTGGTTAAGAGGCCTCTTGGGACACCCACATACCACGTGGGTGTGCCAGGGTTTGAGTCTCAGTTCTGCTTTCCATTCCAACTTTCTGCTGATACACAGTAGGTGCACCTACAGTAGGCAGTAGGTGATGGTGCAAGTACTTGGGCCCCTGCCACCCACGTGGGAGACCTACACTGAGATCTGGGATCTTGGCTTCAACCTGGACCAACCCTGGCTATTGCAGGAACTGGAGGGGGAACCAGTGGATAGAAGCACTCTGTCGCTAGCGCTCTCTCTTTCTCTCTCTCTGCCTTTCAAATAAAATGAAGATAAAAGAAAACTTATAAAATGCTTGGTGTACTAGGGCATGGCCCCTTTCAAGGCCATACCAGGGCCACACCAGAACTTCGCCCAGCCTAGGGCTGGCTCTTCGGCCCTCGTCCTGTTTGCAGAGTCCAGAGAGGAAAGGCCTGGGGAACTTTAAAACAGATGCTGCCCTGTGGGCTCCCTCTCCTACTTGCATCTGCCCAGCCATAGCATCTCACGATTGCCCCTTCTTCACTCTGCCCCCGTGCACTCACTTTCAACCATGGTGCACTGGAGCCTGCTCCCAGCGGCCCACACACTGGGGCCCGGCTGCCTCCTTGCCCTGGCCTTTGCTTGCCAAAAACCTTGGCTGTGGGCTTAGGAAAAAGGCTCTTTGGTCCAAGGCTCTGAGACCCGACCAGTTGGGGAGAAAGGCGGCCCAGTGTCGTTCCCCAAGTTTGCAGTCAAAATCGCAGCAAGCAGCCAAGTGTCCTAAGACTTTGTTTTATCTACTTTGGGAGGTGGCATTGAGAGGTTCAGAAAGATTTGAGTGTTCTGGGTCCTCTGATTTAATTGCCATCTCAATCTCACCATGGAGCTGGAGGGAAAAGAAAGAAGGAAAAGAGGCCCGGCATTGTGGTGCACAGAGTTAAGCCATCCCCCGAGGCTGATATCCCAAATAATTACTGGTTCAAGTCCCAGCTGCTCCACTTCTCATCCAGCTCCCTGCTTATATGCCTGGGAAAGCAGCAGAAGACGGTCCAAGTGGTTGGGTCCCTGAACCCACATGGGAGACCTGGCTCCTGGTTTCAGCCTGGCCCAGCCCTGGCCATTACAGCTGTTTGGGGAGTGAAACAGGGGGAGGAATCTCTCTCTATCTTCCTTTTTCTCTGTAGCTCTGGCTTTCAAATAAATAAATTTTAAAAAGGGGGGAGGGGAGGGGAAGGGAGAAACAGGAGGGTGGCTGTGTTCTTGAGCCTTTGGCGATGCATTCGGCCCCTGGGGGGCTGTGGTTGAAAGAACGTACAGGGCCGACGCCGCGGCTCACTAGGCTAATCCTCCGCCTTGCGGTGCCGGCACACCGGGTTCTAGTCCCAGTCGGGGTGCCGGATTCTGTCCCGGTTGCCCCTCTTCCAGGCCAGCTCTCTGCTGTGGCCAGGGAGTGCAGTGGAGGATGGCCCAAGTGCTTGGGCCCTGCACCCCATGGGAGACCAGGATAAGTACCTGGCTCCTGCCATCGGATCAGCGTGGTGCACCGGCCGCAGTGCGCCAGCCGCGGCGGCCATTGGAGGGTGAACCAACAGCAAAGGAAGACCTTTCTCTCTGTCTCTCTCTCTCACTGTCCACTCTGCCTGTCAAAAAAAAAAAAAAAAAGGAAAAAGAAAAAAGAAAGAACGCACATGCTCTCAAACACTTCCTTGGCATGTGGCTGCCAACCCCAAAGGCCTTTAGTTGGCAAGGGCGGCAAATCCAGTACAGACGGAGACACCGGGTCCTGGAGGAGAGCGGAGCAGGAGGGAGCCTGCCCCACAGGCCCCACCAGACCCACGGCAGCCACGGCAAGGACTAGAAGCAGCTCCTGACAAGCCACCCTGTGTCACGTGGGAGACCTGGGCCTGGCTCCAGACCTTCCAGTCTGGAGGGCCAAGGCCAAGGTGCAGCCGGCCGGTGGGAGGGTGGGGCGAGTCCTCGGAGGAAGGTGGAGGTGGGGGACGCAAAGCTGTTAGCGCATGAGCCTCGGGTGATGGTGTGGGCCGGGGTGGGGGCGGGCGGGCGGGGAGCGGGGGCGAGGCGGCCTCCAGGAACGCGCTGTTCTCAGGAAACAGCGGTTCCTGCTGTAAACCTGGCTCCCTGCCTCGGACAAACTTCCTGGTTTCTGAGTGCGCGGCCAACACCCCCCCACCCCGCCAGCTCCTTGCCCATGCAGAGCAGGGAGTGGGGTTCCCCTCCATGAGGACCTACTGTGTGCCGGCCCCTGCTATTCCTGAGTCAGGGCCCTGCCCAGCCTCCTTCTGCCTGCACATCACATTCAGCTCAGCAGGCCTGGCTTCGTGCTGGTGTCCCTTAGCTCGAGGAAGTGCACCGCCCCCTACTCCCATCCCCACTCACACCGCCAGGGAATCTTGTCCAGAAGAACCCATGAGGCCTCACAGAAGGCAGGGCCAGAGAGCGGATCTGGGAAAGGAATAATCCACTCACGAGGTCATGGAAGTCTTCACTGACGATGGCTCCTACGCTGGGTTCCAAGGGATGAATAGAAGTTCGATGGACAGGCAAGGAACCAAAAACCCCTCTGAGCAGGGACAGTACGATGTGCAGACACGCGCAGGTAGGGAAGACCATGGCACAGGGGAGAGGTGCCAGGGCGTGGGGTGGAATGACTGTGAAGAGCAGAGGAGTGGAAGCACGAGGAGACTGAGCGGTGGCCCACAGACCACGAGGCCTCGCTGACCACCCACTTGCCCTCCTGGATCTCTCATGGTGGGG